CACCGCGAGGCGTCGGACAGGCTGCACCAGCCATTCGTTTCCTTTTGTACTATTTATAATTCTGAGAATTTTATTTTCATACTGGCTCCTCGCGCCCTCTCTGCAACTCAAGCGGGCTTCCAGGCCATGCAGCGGGCAGCTCTGAGAGCAAGGCTTCCCTGGAACAGCCCTCACGGCTTTCTGCTCCGCTGAAATGCCTTATCCTGAAGTACAGCTTGAAGGTTGATAGGGAAATGCTCAGGCTATTCCCCTTGCCGACAGACACACAGGAGTTCAGGTGAATAAGAGCTTACCATAAATTTCTGTCCCTTGAGTAAGGCGTGTGAAAACAGATTGTGCAAATAAATGATTTAAATCTTTCAGTTGGTGTTTTAGGCTCTTACGAACCGTATTGATCTTTAACTTGGAGGAACCTCAACAAGCCTTTTGATGTGCTGTACCTGCAGGCAGTGAAATTCAGTTGCTGTTTTGTGTTGGTTTAGTGTGATGAGATCAAGCCACAGCCACTGAGGCTAAAGATACCTGAAAATCAGGATCGAGGCATCCTGAGCAAGATGACGGCAGTGTGGAAATCAGAGTTGAAGGCAGCAGGGTCGGAGTCCCTGGGGAGCTGCCTCCCCAATAACCCCTTGTCACACTCTGTGAAGCAGAACTGCCCTGATCCTCACGTTTGCTGTCGGGAAGGCTGGGAGCTAATAGTAAACAGCAGTTTGTAGTTGCTGAAAGGACGTTCCCTACGCAGGGAGACGCACAAATTACTGAGCGTACTTTGTAACCTGCTTGCGAGGTGCTCAGATGCCACGGCCGTGGCTGCTACGCTGTGCCTAGGCGAGCCTGGAGGATCTGCCAGCAGCCGGTGATAAATCTGTTCCAGTTGCTGTTGTCACGGAGCATCAGCATGTTTTTGGGAGTGCTGTCCCCATCATGGAGATGAACTTTCAGGTAAACAATTAGGCTTTGCTTGGTTAATCTGCTCGGAGTGCCATCTCCCCACCACCGCGCTCTCTGGGGGGTTTTTTTTGGTTTGGTTTTTTTTCCTAGTACTGCAAAGGTGCCTGTGGCTGTCGTCCGCGTGCTGAGACAATTAGCAGTGGGTTACGCAGTGTTAGAGCTACTGTTCCAGGGTAAACCTAGTGCTGCCTTCCCGCTTCCGAACGCCGCAGAAAGGAGCGCTTTGGCAATAAGCTCTGCGGGCACGTCCCTCGCTGCCTGGTTTTACGCAGAGGGCGGGGACTAGGGGGCTGCGTGGTTAGTGCTGCTGCCCAGCGCTGCTGTGCTGGGGCCGCTTTCGGGAAGCGTAGGAATGGCTGTCACCGCTATGCAAATAGAGTGAAGTCCTGAGCGCTCCGAGGACCAGATTTTTTTTCCTTGCGTATCAGTACTGCCCAAACCCCTTAATGACAAGGCATAGGAAAAAGGGAATTACATTTACCAGCTTCCCCAAACCCAGTCAAGGGAAATCACCTGCTAGGATAACTAACTCTCTGCTCTTCTGTAGCTGCTGTTCCCTGGACTAATAGCTTCATTTACTTTCTGCCAGTCCGCTACAATGCTGTCTCCCCCTTCCTAATACCGTGTTCATCTTCAGTTCTTGCTTCTAAGCAGCTGCAAATCTCTATCACCCGCTCAGCACAGCGTGAAGCCATCGGCACTGCAGACAGAGCCGGCACTAAAAGAGGCAGTCTTATACTGTACGAGATTATCCCAAGAAAGCTTAAACCGTTCCTCTGAAGCATCTCTATAAAAGCACAGCTGGGACTGCGAAAGCTGTAGTTGTTTTTTTGCTCAAGAAACACAAGCACAATGGTTTTTAAGTCCTCTTTGTGTTCTTAGAGTAAATGTTTTCCTCCTGACACCTATTTGCAAACCCAATAAAGCTTTCCTTAGCACTGGCTCTAATTTGCTCTGCCTCATCCGTTGCTAAAATTCCTCCTTATTAGTGAAAATATAGTGAGGAGGGAGAGATGCGGCTTATAGTGGGCAAGGGGGAAGATCACTCAGCCAGATCTTCCTTCAGCCACCCGAGAGCCCGGAGTAATTAACTGAACCATTACCCCGAACAGCACCAGAATCGCCCTTCGCTGTGAAGAAAGATGTGTTTGAAATGGCCACCGAGAACAGGGGTGGACTCTTCAGTGACGTTGCTGAGGAGAGAGTTACTCCTTCCCCTCCCACGGTCAGAGGCTGGAGCCGCACGCCCAGCCGTAGGGCTGAACGCTCCTCGCAGAGCTCAAGTGGTTCCTCTCCCTTCTCAGCAGCTCCCCTTCCATCAGACAGGACGGAGGCAGGCTTGTAGCGTACCACACAAGCCTGACAAGAGCCAGAAGGCACAGAAATAGCTAGGAAGGAGATCTACATCCCATTTCAGTAGGTTTTGGACAAGCTAAAAGCTACACCCCGTGCCCATTTTCCTCCCGGCAGACTGATGCAGCGCTCGCCTGCAGTAGCTCAGAGGCTCAAAGGGCCGGTGGCGAGGCAGGTTCCTCGCTGGTTAAGGCAGGGGTGGCAGCAGCGCGTGCTGCAGCTGTGAAAGGATGACAGGCACAGAACCAGCACGGTCCCGCATCAAAGATGTAAACGATTTTAAGTCACTTTTTTTGAACAAGGCTAGGAGAAAGCAGACAGCTCCTTACCCCGCTCTTAAAGTTCTCCTCAGGCAGAAGCCAAGGGTAGTGCCAGTAGACCACAGCTGTATAAATGCTTTCAAGTCTTTCAAAACCATTTTTAGGACGTTGTGATTTCTGACAGTGTCCTGAAGCTAAGGTGTCGGGCCATGTATTTAAGCGTTCCCCATCTCCTAGATAAGGAGAAGTTACAACCAGGCCAAAGGAGAAGTCAGGTGAACACACAGGCACGAGACACGGACCAAGAATTTTTTATTTTAACACAGTAAGTTTGAGTACAGCAGCAGAACTCCTTGAGTCCATCTTGGTTTACATCATATCAGTAGGTGGCTGATACAATTTGGCTCGGAGTTGTTCCATCGGGAATCCCATTTCCATTTTGATATAACCAGCTTCAGGAGACCGAATCCTTCTCTGCAGTGTCTTTTGCCACCCCAGGCTGGATCCCGCTGCTAAGCATTTCAGTTTTCACTTGTCTCATACTTGTGCTTGATGTGCTTCCACAGTTTCTGTATGTAAAACAAACAAACAAACCCCCAAATGGTAATCTTTAGCCAGCTTTTCAGCGGTCCGGGGATAAAGCTTCACTTTAAAATGCAAGTTATCGTGAAACCTATGTCAACAGCCGGAGGGGAAAGAAGAGTTTGTACGAAAACACATCCACAGGTACCACCACCAGGGTACGCGGCGGCGTGGGTACCGTCATCCTGCGCGTCCCTGCTACGCCTGGGCACGCCCTGCTCCACAACAGCAACAGTCCCACACAAAGGTTTCAGGAGGAGCAGCTAGGCGGCAGCCGAGAAGCCACGAGCCCGCTCTGGGGGCATAAAGCCGCTTTCTGCTGTGGAACAGTTTGTCCTCTTACTGCTTTCTCTGTCCCCTCCACCTTCCCACCCTTCTTTCGGGGCTTGGTTTTTTTTTCGATGCTGCCGTGCCTCAGCTCCCCACGCTCGTCCTGCCCGTGGAGGAGGCGGCGGATGGAGTCCCCGGGTCTGCAGGACAGGGAAGGCATGCGGGGGGCTCCGCGGCTTTTAGACTAGACAGGGAGGAACCCGCAGACATCCCACCTCCCCTGTTCTCCTACTCTGTGAGCCAGAGATTACCGGAGTATTCCAGTCACATTGCCTCAGCTTCCCACTGAGACCGGGGAAGGCATTTCTGCTCCCGGAGATAGAGGATACACAGAAGAATCCTATTCCAGGCACTGAAATCCGCTGGCACAATGGGGGCTGAGGGAAGCGCCGCGCAAGGGCGAGGCGCGTGCCGTGCTTTGCTGTTTGTCATAGACAATGCTTTAGATTTGCAAAAGAAGTTAACTTTCTTGATAATTTGTTTTCAAGCCCCGCTTGAGAAAACATTAGCACATAGAAAATTAATGCTACAATTAAAAAAAGGAGCTGAGTGCAAAGCTGAAGTTCAGATGTGATTTTACGTCGGCTTTTAACAACGGACTGTTGCTAAAAAGGAGGAGACGGGCCCTGGTCTTGCTCTTACTGTATTTCCTCAGCTCACCCAACCCCCGGTGAGTTACTTCAGGGCGGTGAAGCTGCCGCTTTGCTTGGTAATCAGTTTTCACCTGGTTTCATGACCTGGTTCAGGAGGCCAAGGAGCAGCCGTCGCGCTGTCATGCCAGGGAAGGCGCAGGGCAGCACCTCCCAGCATCGGAGCCGCTACGATGACCTGGCTATCATGTGAAACCGCGCCCCGGGTGCTCCGAGAGACCCGAGGCACATCAGCGCTGCAGGACAGGGAAGAGGCCCGCCGCGCTGCAGGAGGGAACGTGCAAAACACTAAGCTTTTTGTGTACTTGGTGCAAGATGGAAACAGCAGCACCTTTCCTTGGGGCACGCGTTGCACCGCCTCACCCTGTCCAGGACGCGGTTATATGCCCCGTCCGTGTGCCCAGGCAGTTGTGACCCCATCACAGCCCTACTTTGAAACAGAGGGACGACTCGACCCATCCCATCTAACGTTCCTGCCTGAGATGGCGGACTCCGCTGTCCGGTACGGCGCTGCGCGTCCCGGCCACAACTCGGCAGTGCCTGCCCCTTCACCGTTATCCCCTCCCTCTGCTACGGGCGGTTCGCGAGGGACCGGAGGGCTACAGACCTACGGAGCGCAAAGAAAGCTCAATCCATTTTAACCTTCCTGCGTCTCGCCGCCTTCGATACCTTCTTCCCCAGCGGCTCCGCAGCCAGAGAAGCCCAAGAGCAGACGGGAGCCCCGACTACCGGGCGCCGCGACACCAGCAAAGCCTCCACAGG